TTTTTTTTTTTTTTTTGGTCTTTTTGAGACAGGGTCTCCCTGTAGGCCCAGAGGTCCTGGAACTCACTATGTAGACCGGGCTGGCCTTGAACTCACAAAGATCCGCCTGCCTCTGCCTCCCAAGTGCTGGGATTAAAGGCGTGCGCCACCACGCCCGGCCTAGCTTTAATCCTTTTTAATATAACAAATTTCTAAGTGGTATATTCCATTTACTAATATATTATCAAGTAAATGGAGATATATTGTTAGATGCATTTTGTAATAGTGATGCTTTGAGTGTTTTATATATATATATTTAAAAGATCACTTTAAAAACTATTTAGTAATTTATGCAATATCTTGCCAAAAGTGAACTTCTATGGGATATAATTATCTGACTTATAGCATAATCAGCAACAGTTCTTATAATGAAAAAAACCAATTTCATCATATCTTGAACCGTATCAAACACTTTCATTTCTTAGTGACTTTGGCCTAACACTCAACTCATGTAGAGGTCCAAACATGAAGCTACCTAATGCTGCTATACAAATATCGGAAAAATTAATATTAACATCAAGGCTAATAGCAACTAAAATAGTGAAACTGTCAGCAAGGGCAGAAGTCACAATTCTACAATGGAAGCCCTAAAATAAATGACCAATAATAACAAAAAGGTCCAATATTTAACTATAGCAAAGATGATCCTAAACAGAAGAGAAAGCAGTATGTCAAGCTATTTTTGTAGGAGAAAGATATCTATTCAATAAAGCACCTACTGCATTTTGGAAAGTAAAATTTAGACATCCAAAGGTGGAATAATACATTAGAAAAGGCACTAACTAAATCAAAATGCCTGGGTAACTAATCCAGCTGGAGAACTTACTAGTTGTTGGACAAGCTCCATCATGTCGATACTGCATGGAAATTTCTGTAGGGAGGAAGGAAGAAAGGAAATAAGCAAATAATTGCTAGTGATGCAAGGGCAGAAAAAGAAACAGACCAGAAAAATGGGGGAACTTCACATAAAAGACAATTTTAGGAAGTCAAATAAAACTACAGGAACAAAAACTATAAGCTAATATTTGGGATGTGAAGGTAGGGAAATTAAACATAATTCTCACAAATATTAATGGCAAACTGTGTATACATAAAGGTTAAGAAAAAGACATAAGGGTTTACATATCAATGTGCATATCAAATATCTGTGAACAGCTTTGTGAAGGTTAGTTTTAATTGTCAACTTCATACAATGGAAAATCATCTGGGAAGAGAGTTTCAAGGCAGAAAGAAGGAATTGTCTACATTGGTGTGCTGGTTAGTTTTGTCAAGTTGATACAAACTAGAGTCACCTAGGAAGACGAACCCACAGTTGAGGAATTCCCTCCATCAGACTTCCCTGTGGAATTTTTTTTGGAGGTGTCCTTTTTGCAATTGTGTCTCCCTGTAGCCCCAGCTGGCCTGGAACTCGATATGTAGACCAGGTTGGCCTCGATCTAACAGAGAGCTACCTGCATCCCATGACTGGCTTGTGGGATATCTTTTGATTGCTTGTTGATGTAGGAGTGCCCTAGTGCCCAGGCTGGATTAAAAATGAAGCTGAGCGAGCCAAGGGAAGAAAGCCAGCCAGCAGCATTCCTGTCTGTTCTCTGCTTCAGCTCCTGTGTCCAGGCTTCGGCTTGACTTCCTGCTGTGATTTCCCTCAGTGAAAATAAGCCCTTTCCTACCCAGGTTTCTTTTGGCCATGGTGCTTGTCACAGCAACAAAAGTGACTAGGGTAACCGGGCTAGCCTGGCAGCAAAGCCCATGGGACTGTCCTAAGGTAAATGATGTGTGAAGACAGCCCACTATGGAAGCACACTCCTTAGGGAGGGAGTCCTGAACTGTATCAGAGTGGTAAAACGAAGTTGAGCACAAGCGAGCGAGCATCCATGATTCACTTCTCTGTGCTCTGACTGTTGATGTGATATTGACTATTTTAAGTTCCTGTCTTGATAGATTGTAAAATGGAATTACAAGCTGAAATAAACTCTTTTCTCCCCTAAGAAGATACTTGTCAGATATTCTAACACAGCAACAGAAATGAACCTGGGACAGGCTTCTTTAATAAAAGGTAGCATAGCTAGCAATGTACCACCTTAAGATAATTCAGTAGATAGGAACAGTTTAACAAAAACATCTGAATATTGTGGTTAATTAGAAATCAGAATTTAAGAATAGGTAGTTTATATGTAAGTATAAATCCATTATGACTTATGTGTGATAGCATTAAACCACACTCAGCTCACCCCTAAGAACTCTATGTACAACAAAGCCTTGTCACTTACACATCTACACATGCTCATCCAAACTCTAGTCTCATGCCAGGTATGACAGTGCACACCTGGAAGCGTAGCGTTTAGCAGGTGGATCAGGAATTCCAGGACAGCCTCAGCTATATAACAAGCTTGAGGCAGGGCTATATGAGGAACTGTCCCCCCAAAATAAAAACAAAACACCCAGAAAAAAAGTAAAAAATCCCTAAACTTTAGTCTCATGATGGTTCCACCAAGTTAACTTGGGGTTAAGACGAGAAATCAGTATACTGGTAAAAGAGCTTACTATACTAAATGTAGTTTTAAAAATTCAAAATGTTTAGTCCACTTTAGAACAATCAAGTAAAAACAACATAGACTTTTAACTCCTTTCCAGGTGACACTCAGAAATAAGATCTATTGGAGGAATTCTCTACCTTACTGTCTCAATCACTAATGAACCAAATAAAAGTGAAATGGTCTACAAAGTAACTTCCAGGTCAGCTGGGGCTACAGAGAGACCCTGTCTCAAAAAGACGGAAAAAAAAAAAAAAAAAAAAAAAAAGAAGTGAAATGTAAAAGGAGTTGGGTCTCCTGAAGAGGACTGACATGGTATATTACAGAGAAATGGCAGCCCTTTAAGATAATCAAAGGACACTGACAATGAGACTGTCTCAACAGGAAAAAAAAAATGTGGCTCTTCTGGCCTTTGATCACTTTTGTAGAAAGAGTCACAATATAGGGCCAGTAAACACTCAAAAATCATCACAGTCAAAAAGAAAAGGAGACAATCCCCCCAAGAACAAATTCCAAGGTATAACTCAATTTCCACAATAATGTAATGTTGAACACAATTTTCATTTACGAACCTAGGTAACCAAGCTATACAAAATTATGAACATTAGTTACTGAGACATGCTTAAAATGGGCTCACTCACTATACTTACTCCTAGGTCTACAATGCTCTATCAGTAACTACTATTTTGAGTTTATTGGACTAAAATTTATCTTTAGAATTGCCTTATTTGGGATGGCAAGGTAGCTCATTAGGTAAGAGTGATTGCACCTAAGTTGATCCCCCAGGCCCCACACGGTGGAAGGAGAGAAATCTGAAAATTGTACTCTGATCTTCACGCCTGCCTACCCGCCCCATGCCCCCCCACCCCCAAACATTTTTAAAAGTAAAAGAAAAATTAGGAAATAACCTAATTTGTTTAAAATATCTTTATTGCTGTTTAAAATATTTCCCCAAGGACAACTCAACATAACCAACTTAAACAGGTAAGATTTCTATATCTATTTAGTAAAAAAAAAAAAAAATCTTTGTTAGCAATCTTTTAGTAGAAACTTAACTCCTATATATTCTATTCATTTTACAAACTTGTCTCTGAAATTATCACAAAAGAATCTGTCCACAACCTCATTTTGTAGAATTTATCACCACCAAAGAATTTCAGTATGTAAATAGATTCCCAAGTATCTTGTTTTATCAATGGTAAGAAATTAAGGCTTTTGATTTTAAAGATAGGGAATGATATATGTTCAAAGGGCAAGAAAAGAAATAAATGCTAAACCAACTTCATGTTACTTAATGAATACAAGATTTTTCTCCAAGAACAAAACATTAATCTTTTTGTGAAGAAAATATTATCCAGTTTTTACTTTAGTAAATCATAAATTCTTTTTAATTCTGTAAAAAGTTTATTTATTGCTGTGTGTGCAAGTGCGTGGAGGCAGGAGGGCAACCCTGTGGAGTTGGTCTCTCCCACCTTCATAAGGGTTCAAACATCAGCTTTACAGAGCACTCGCACCAGCTTGCTTCTTTCTCTTTTCTTTATTCTTTTTCTTGATGTGTCTGTGGTATGTGTGCCTGAATGTGAAGGAGCGTGTAGAGGTCTGAGGACAACCACGAGTGTCAGTCCCTCACCTTCAAACTTGCTTGAGACAAGGTCTTTAATTGTTCACTACTGTATACACCAGGCTAGCTGGCCTAAGAGCTCCTGGGGGTTACCATCTCTGCCTCCCACCTTTTTCCAAAGGCCCACTGGGATTAGAGATGCATACCATTACATCTACCTTTACACAGCATTCTAGAGACCTGACTCTATCCACTTAGCAGATCATCTCCCAGCCCTATAAATTACAAATTCTTATAATATGGGGGAGATAAAGTGTAAGTTCAACTCGTCCAAATGTTGTTAAGTATTAATTTTCAAAGTTTTAAAAGACACCAGATATTAGATATCAGAGTTGGAGAGATGGCTCAGTGGCTAAGAGCACTTGTGTGTGTGTGTGTGTGTGTGTCTTTTTGAGACAGGGTCTCCCTGTAACCCCAGCTGGCCTGGAACTCACTATACAGACCAGGTTGGCCTCTGCCTCCACCATGCCTGGTTGCACTTGCTACTCTTGTAGAGGATCCATGTTAAATTCCAGCACCCATATGATAGTTCACAACCATTACTATGGCTCCAAGGGATCTGATACCCTCTTTTGGCCTATAGGAGTACATGTAGGCATGGTGGGGCACATGTTTTTTAATCCCAGCACTTGGGAGACAAAAGCAGGCAGATCTTTGTGAGTTCAAGGCCAGCCTGGTCTACATAGAGTTCCAGGCCAGCTGGAGCTACAGGGAAACCCTGTCTCAAAAAGACACCCCCCGCCAAGTGCTCAGATCCCAAAAGATAATCTACAGGAAACTGCATCAGAAGCTTAATATAAAGCTAGACAGGGTGGCACAGAGCTATTACTACCCCAGCACTTGGGAGGCTGGAAGGGAGTTCCAGGACAGCCTGGCCTACGTAAGGCTTTATCTTTAAAAAAACAAAAAAATGCTGGGTGCAGCAGTGTATGTGCACTGCTGTGAGATCAGGGCCAGTCTGGTCTACGTTGTGCCCAGGGAGACCCTTTCGTATTTTTTTTTTCTCCTTACTTTTTCCAACAGCAAGAGCAGCTCTCCAGCTTGGATTAAACCAGAGTACTTTCAATGTTCTTTAGAAACCTTTCAGTCACCTCATACATAAGACAGTACAATTACTATAATCTCAATGAGGATTTTTTCTTATCCATTAAAGAAATTCTGAAGTAATGATAAATTATAAGAAATCCAGAATGTCCTTGGTGAAAACTGTTAGACTATTACTCTTATTTCTTTAGCCTGGCATTCATCTACTAATGAAACCATCTACCCCCACTCTATTCAGTCAATGTCATCTCCAACTATGTCAAAAAACACAAGCTTCTTATTTCTATTTAGGCTTATCTCTTAAATATACATTTACTTCCTTTTCTGGCAATATTACTGAATCACCTTTTTCTGCCTACTCCAAATATAATATAATCTCCCCAGTCTTTTCCCACTTAATACTCTCATCCTAAACCGGCCTGTGATATTACAAGTAAAATTATTTCTATTGAAGCCTAACTGTAAACACTTAGTGGACAGGTTCAAAATTACAAAGGGTACTATTTCCCACAATATGCACTCAATGTTTACTAGTAATGATAGTAATGTTAACTTGATTTTCCAAATATAATTTTTTGTTTGTATGGGATTTTCTTTTCTTTCTTTCTTTCTTTTTTTTTTTTTTTTTTTACTTTTTTGAGACAAGGTCTTCCTATATATAGTTCAAGCTGGCCT